GTTGGAACGTGCACACATGCATAGCATCTCCAGCGTATCATATATTGTATTTATTTGGCTTTTTAACCGAGGAAAGCCCAATTGTCAGGACTATGAGGGTCCTGCCAGGTTTCTTTGTGTGGGAGCCCAATTGTATCATTTTCAGGTATGGGGGATGTTTAACCAACACGAGTTCCATTGTGTTTGAGGAACCAGAGAAAACCCAGAGAAAACCCATGCATAGCAGGAAGAAAATACAAACTCCACATAGGAAGACACCAGAGTTGGGAATCAAACTCCGACGCCTCCTTGCTGCGAGGCTCAAGTGTTACCACTAGCCTGTCAACCGCAATACTTCTTATTAAAATAATTTCAAGACCACAGATTAGACTCAAACAAGATCTCTATACTCATCCGAACCTGCACTCCACATCCCAGGTTCACACAATTCAAACAGGCACTTCACATGAAACTGTAGGTTTGAATCTCTGCTCTCTACATGTGGAAGTCTAGGAATCAAACAATCAAGACCTCCGCTCCTGCACCTGTCGTACACTTGTTTCACACCATTTATTAGCACGTTTTGTCGCCGCAACGTGGCGCTGACGTACGCCCGAACACATTCGAAATTTCTCCTGCACGGTATCCACGCCGCAGCCTGCGCCTAAGGCGGCGGCTGCTGCTCTCTCGCGGCTGTTCCGGGAGACCGGGCCTCGCTCGTTGAGCCTCCTCACCTTCTGGAAGCCAATGTCCTTGGCGTACTGACGGAAGCACTGGCGGCACATGTTGAGGCCGTACTTGCGGATGAGTCCGTGGCGGTTGGAGCACACGCGGCTGTCGTCGGACGCGCACAAGGGGGGGGGGGGGGTGAGGTTAGAATCCCGGTGGCACAACGTGGAACCACAAAGTGCACCATGGGGGAATGCAGAACCTAAATGCAATGAACGTAAGGGGGGGGGCTCTTCCTGGCATCCAACTCAATGGTGTTCTAAACTAGCATTAGGTTAGAATTTCAACGAGGGTAGTTTAGTTTTGTTTAACCAGGTGAGAACTCAAATCCAACGTAACTATTTTAAGTTGCCGAGCACAAGTTCAAATGCTCAACGTCATGCAGCCAGCAACAAGCAGCAGTAGCAATATTGTAAGTGTTGTGGTCTGAGTTATATATTACGGGCAGGTCAACATCATTTTTCAGAACAGGGCAAATGGTCGGTTGATGATCACAAAGTGAACTTGGGGAAGAGTCCCAAGGAAATGGCCAGACCCTTAATTTGGTCAGGTCTTCAATTCGGCTTTTAAGCCACATGCTCATAAGGATCAGATTAATCGTTCGGTATCCGGATCATTAACTGGGGTTAGTAAGTGGGATCGTGATAATTGCAGTTAATCGAATCGATTTTTGCATAATTGCGGTAACCTCGTATACGAGGTTCGTTAATTGGGTCACGTTAATAAATGTAATTATTATAATTACGATTTGGCTCACCAAGGTAATCAATTACATCAGCCGGGGCGGTGGCGCAGCGATTATCGCACTGCGCTAATAATCCGGCCACACAAGTTCCGATTCCCGGCCGCGGCTAGCAGTGATCAAACACCCGGTGTGTTGCCCCAACCCCGCTTCATCAACCCGCACCACCCAGCTTGGCGATCCATAGTCAGACAACGCCAATGAACGACACGACGGCGTGGAAGTAGCCTTCATCCAGCAGTGGAGCAAAGATGTACACGGCGATGAGATCCGGGCTGCGACTAACCGCGTGTCCCACGTGCAACGGGGGCCTAGGCCCCAACCCCGCGCGCCTTCCGGCAGCACCGCCACTCCACACGTGCCCACCCCGCTCTACCGCTACCCATCAACTCTCATTCACCAATTAACCACTCGCAATCACAAATAGAACCTCTCCAATTCCTCGGTAACATCGACAATCATTTTCACCACCACTCTCACTGTCCAGAGGCCTTACTCGGGCCTTGCCCAAGGAGGCTTTATTCGCATGCGCTGCCCGCACTGCACACACTCCTGCGCGCTCCCGAGCCAGGCAACCACCAAAGGGGATCTCTCCCCTCTTCGGTCCCTCGAACCGCGAGCGAGTTGTGCTCACCAGGAGCGCGAGCCCTGGCCGAACTTCCTCGGGTGAGAGAAGTAGATCTGCTGGTGGCCCATGGCGGACGAAGCGGCGGCGGCGCGAGCAGACGAGGAGGAAGGGGGGCGGGGCGACACGCGCTTATATACCCGCGCCCAAGTCTCGCGAGAGCGGGATCTATCCCGCCCGCCGCCGCTGTCCAAACCACAGATCTCGCGATAAGTGGCGACGCGTTCGTGTGTTAAATAGCTACAAACATTAATTTTTCTCTCCGCGTGATGAAGACCGCTTGTGTTGCGATTGAAACGTCGTGGGTTTTTTTTTGCTTTTGTTATTTAAATTTTATTTTCTATCTACGTGACTTTACCGAAAGAACCAATAATATGAATTACTGCAGTCACGAAAGTTTTAAGTAAAAAGTCTAAAGTCTCGCGAGATGTTAGCGTTAGCCCGGACGCGCCAGGATATTTTCTCAGTCTCGCGAGATTTTAGCGACGAACGCGCGCCTCCTGTTCGCGCTGATTGGTTGCCTGCGTGGCGGCCATGTTGGTATGGGAGAGCGACATGAAGAGTACAGTAGTTTTCAGTTTCATTTACAGTATTTGGTATACTGTAGCCCTGTGAGCCATTCGGCTCTTGAATCGGGTGCAACCGCAACAAACAAAAACATGAACAAGAAAACATCTTAAAGTGACTACGCGCAAACAGAAAAATCCAGGAAAAAACAGCAAAAACTTCCAGAAAAAGCACCGTACATCAACGCTGTGTGCAAAAATCCCAGTGGGATGCAAGTCAAACAAAAACAACCACAAGACAACTTAGATTAAAGCCATCAGTCTTACTCCGTATTACAACAAACAAACATGGTCAAACCAAAAAAGTTTTTGAAATCACCAACATGGTCAAACCAAAAAAGGTTTTGAAATCACCAAAATAAAGCCATAAAAGCAATGTAACAGTGATCATAGGAACTGTGACTGAAATTTCATCCGCAGCGAAACATTCGTGTCAAAATCCACTGCTGGATGAGGGGTCTCGTCACGCCGTGATTGGGTGATGGTCGTGAAGGCAGGGAACACAGAAGTAGAGTACAACAATGTACTTTGCTACACTGCCTCCTTAGGGGCCGTCCATAAATGACGTCACGCGATTTTGGACGATTTTCGACCCCCCCCCCCTCGTCACACGGCGTCACAAAAAGTCAGACCCCCCCTCAAATATGACGTCACAAAGCTCTGCCCCCCCCAAAATAAAACATCTTTCAAATCTCTTTAAACTATTGTCATTGTAGTGCGTATTTAATGTGGCGCTGCACTCTGATGTTGTAGGAGAAAACATTTATTAAAAAGTCAATTTAATTAAGTAGAACGTGTTGTCTATATTTATTTAAAGTTGCGCATTTTGATGTGACGTCACATTTCTCACCCCCCCCCCCGCTCGTCGTCATACATCGTCACAAATATCTGAACCGCCCCCCTAGGGTCGTGACGTCATTTATGGACGGCCCCTTACTGCTGTCCGCCACGTAGCCCCTTCGCCCTATCCATGGCAAATTCAAAGTGACTGCCAGGTGTATCATTCCTGAATTAGTGAAATGGCACAAACGTCGAGATGCGTCTTACGAGTAACACGACAACAAAGTTTGCGTTGTTTTTTGTTAGATAACAGTAATGTCAATTGTGTGATTAATCATTGTTTTTTTGTAAGGCCACGTTATAAGTGGGACAGATTTGCATCATAAGGCAACACCATCATGCAAAACTACACAACCAAATTAAATATATTGTGGTGTATTGTACGAGCCTTTAACGTGCCGGTTATTGTTTGAAGAGCAATCGTGAAAACCAAACCGAGCTATTCAAACACATTCCTGCGGAGGGAGCTGGTAGGAACGTTGGGTTGCTCGGTCAATGGCCAGGGTCAACGGCGGCGTGGTGTATTCCGCAAATATGCCCGACTGTGAGGACGGGCACAAGACGGCGTGAGTCGGTCAAACGTTGAGTTTTATAAGGGCACCACGGGGTGACCAGCCCCTCCCCACCCAGCCCCACCAAGCCCCACCCTGCCCCTCCCCACCCAGCCCCACCCCACCCAGCCCCTCCCCACCAGCCCCTCCCCACCCTCCCCACCCAGCCCCTCTCCACCCAGCCCCTCCCCACCCTCCCCTCTCCACCCAGCCCCACCCCTCCCATTTTTTGATGCACGACGGACGGACACAATAATCCCCTGTGGGCTGGTGTAACCAGGAGGTTCCTACCAGTAATATTCCACTTGAAACTGCACCAGGCATCTTCAGAACAAGATCCAGGAAGTCAAAATTTATTTGGCCAGATCATTACGTGGCCGAACCCAAAAAACATGCGTTTTGGGTATTTTTGTTTATATCTTGACAGTTATAGCATTAATCTTTGTTGTTATAAAATGCCTTTGGAAAAATAAAACCATAAGTATAAATGGGTAAACATTTAACCATCTTAGATTTGCTATTGCCATTTATGAATCCGACACATCCAATTGAAATATAGTGTACAGTAAATTACTGATTAACTTGAAAAGAGAGAAGACTGCAAAGTTGAGCTTTAGATAAATACTAGCAAGACAAACAGTTAGGAAACACGTTCACTAAAACAAACTAATTGCTGGAAGCACAACTCTTGAAACAATAGCATTGCTATAAAGTGCAATGCACACTTAAATACGTCAGTAATTGAAGGCGGACCGAAGCAAAATTATTAACTAGATGCAAGCAATGGCAGGTTGGAATACATTGGCTATCTAAACTTTTTTTAAACCGTAACAAATATTCCAATAGAGGAAAGTTCAATAAAACCGTGCTGTAATGTGGCTCAAAAACGTGCAAATTTGGCTGGGTGTAGCCTAGGCCCGCGGCCATATTGGTAAGGGAGACCGCCCCACCCCCACTGACGCCACACGCGGTCGTGTCCCTGGGCAAGATGGCCGCAGCATAGCCGCGTCTCCTCGGCCTCGCGTTATCATCACGCTACTGGTGGTGGTTGGAGGTGGTTGAGGTGGACGTTTCTGCGGTGGAACCATGGACGACCAGGGCTGCCCGCGGTGTAAGACCACCAAGTACCGAAACCCGCAGCTCAAGCTCATGGTGAACGTGTGCGGACACACGCTGTGAGTAGCGGCCCCATACCCGGTGTCTCCTCAGACTCTGCACGTCTGCTCGGGACCTTCTCTCCCCGTACACCACCTCACTCACACCCCGTCTCCATTGTCACCCCCTACGCTGCCTCACTCAGACCCTCAGTCTCAAATGAGTACCTGGTGCGGTGTCTAAACATCGCCACTGGGGAGACAAAGGCGGCCGGGGGTGGTGTTGGCCACCCACCCCCTCGTGTGCCGTGCTGGCCTTCATAGGTGCTCGCTAACAGCACTTGCCCCTACAGTCTGGCAAGGCTATGCAGGGGTTCTTTGTCATTTGTGTCAGTGTGATAACTATGTGAAAGTGCTATGTGTGTGTATGTGCTGCTGTATAGGAGTAATAATTGAGTGGATGGTGCTATGTGTGTGCTGCTGTGTAGGTGTGACAGCTGTGTTAAGGTGCTATATATATGTGCTGTGTAGGTGTGAGAGCTGAGTGGATGGTGCTGTGTGTGTATGTGCTGTGTAGGTGTGAGAGCTGAGTGGATGGTGCTATGTGTGTGTATGTGCTGTGTAGGTGTGAGAGCTGAGTGGATGGTGCTGTGTGTATGTGGTGCTGTGTAGGTGTGAGAGCTGAGTGGATAGTGCTATGTGTGTGTGCTGTGTAGGTGTGAGAGCTGAGTGGATAGTGCTGTGTGTGTGTGTGCTGTGTAGGTGTGAGAGCTGAGTGGATGGTGCTGTGTGTGTATGTGCTGCTGTATGTAGGTGTGAGAGCTGAGTGGATGGTGCTATGTGTGTGTATGTGCTGTGTAGGTGTGAGAGCTGAGTGGATGGTGCTGTGTGTGTGTATGTGCTGTGTAGGTGTGAGAGCTGAGTGGATGGTGCTATGTGTGTATGTGCTGTGTAGGTGTGAGAGCTGAGTGGATGGTGCTATGTGTGTGTATGTGCTGTGTAGGTGTGAGAGCTGAGTGGATGGTGCTGTGTGTATGTGGTGCTGTGTAGGTGTGAGAGCTGAGTGGATAGTGCTATGTGTGTGTGCTGTGTAGGTGTGAGAGCTGAGTGGATAGTGCTGTGTGTGTGTGCTGTGTAGGTGTGAGAGCTGAGTGGATAGTGCTGTGTGTGTGTGTGCTGTGTAGGTGTGAGAGCTGAGTGGATAGTGCTATGTGTGTGTGCTGTGTAGGTGTGAGAGCTGAGTGGATAGTGCTGTGTGTGTGCTGTGTAGGTGTGAGGGCTGAGTGGATGGTGTTATGTGTGTATGTGCTGTGTAGGTGTGAGAGCTGAGTGGATGGTGCTATGTGTGTGTATGTGCTGTGTAGGTGTGAGAGCTGAGTGGATGGTGCTGTGTGTGTATGTGCTGTGTAGGTGTGAGAGCTGAGTGGATGGTGCTATGTGTGTGTATGTGCTGTGTAGGTGTGAGAGCTGAGTGGATGGTGCTGTGTGTGTGTATGTGCTGTGTAGGTGTGAGAGCTGAGTGGATGGTGCTATGTGTGTGTATGTGCTGTGTAGGTGTGAGAGCTGAGTGGATGGTGCTGTGTGTGTGTATGTGCTGTGTAGGTGTGAGAGCTGAGTGGATGGTGCTATGTGTGTGTATGTGCTGTGTAGGTGTGAGAGCTGAGTGGATGGTGCTGTGTGTATGTGGTGCTGTGTAGGTGTGAGAGCTGAGTGGATGGTGCTGTGTGTGTATGTGCTGTGTAGGTGTGAGAGCTGAGTGGATGGTGCTATGTGTGTGTGCTGTGTAGGTGTGAGAGCTGAGTGGATGGTGCTGTGTGTGTATGTGCTGTGTAGGTGTGAGAGCTGAGTGGATGGTGCTGTGTGTGTGTGTGTATGTGCTGTGTAGGTGTGAGAGCTGAGTGGATGGTGCTATGTGTGTATGTGCTGTGTAGGTGTAAGAGCTGAGTGGATGGTGCTGTGTGTGTATGTGCTGTGTAGGTGTGAGAGCTGAGTGGATGGTGCTATGTGTGTGTATGTGCTGCTGTATGTAGGTGTGAGAGCTGAGTGGATGGTCCTATGTGTGTGTGCTGTGTAGGTGTAAGAGCTGAGTGGATGGTGCTATGTGTGTATGTGCTGTGTAGGTGTGAGAGCTGAGTGGATGGTGCTGTGTGTGTATGTGCTGTGTAGGCGTGAGAGCTGAGTGGATGGTGCTGTGTGTGTATGTGCTGTGTAGGTGTGAGAGCTGAGTGGATGGTGCTATGTGTGTGTGCTGTGTAGGTGTGAGAGCTGAGTGGATGGTGCTGTGTGTGTATGTGCTGTGTAGGTGTGAGAGCTGAGTGGATGGTGCTATGTGTGTGTATGTGCTGCTGTATGTAGGTGTGAGAGCTGAGTGGATGGTGCTATGTGTGTGTGCTGTGTAGGTGTGAGAGCTAAGTGGATGGTGCTGTGTATGTGCTGCTGTGTAGGTGTGAGAACTGTGTGAAAATGCTATGTGTATGTATGTGCTGCTGTATGTAGGTGTGAGATCTGAGTGGATAGTGCTATGTGTATGTGTGAGAGCTGAGTGGATGGTGCTGTATGTGTGTGTATGTATGTGCTGCTGTATGTAGGTGTGAGAGCTGAGTGGATGGTGCTGTGTGTGTATGTATGTGCTGCTGTATGTAGGTGTGAGAGCTGTGTGGAGATGCTGTTCGCGCGGGGTGCCGGCTCGTGCCCCGATTGTGCGACGCCTCTGCGCAAGAGCGCGTTCCGCGTGCAGCTCTTCGAGGATGCCCTCGTCGACAAGGAGGTGGAGATCCGCAAGCGTGTACTCAAGACGTGAGATCCCGGAGACAAAGACACGAAGATGCAGAGAGACACTGACGCGGAGACATCGGGAGACAGACATGGACACACAAAGAGACACGGACACAGGGAGACGTAGACACGGGGAGACGCAGAGAGACAGAGACGCAGGCACATCGGGAGACAAAGAGAGACATGGAGACAGATACATAGACAGGAGGGATGGAGATAGCAGAAAACCCACCATGCAGAGGGGGTGACAATCACCAGCTCCACACAGATAGGGTCGCAAACCCACTTGCTGTACTGCCAACCACACATGCATTTACCCGCCAGGTACAACAAGCGGGAGGAGGATTTCCCATCGCTCCGCGAGTACAACGACTACCTGGAGGAGATAGAAGATATCGGTACCGCTGATACGCTCCCAACCTCGCCTACATCACCAAAGACATTTCACCATTTAACCAACACTGCATTACCAACCGCACTCCACCAAACCACAGATCACCAACCACACGCATGTCATCAACCCAACACATCCACACCACCAACCCCACCTTGTTTGCTACAAAGTTTAACCAACATTGACCCCCTGCCCCTCTCCCCAAGTGTTTAACCTGACCAACAACGTGGATGTGGAAACCACAAAGCGGTGCATGGAGCAATACCAGCGCGACAACCGTGACATTATCCAGAAAAACCGCGTCAAGACGGTACGTGGTGTGTGTGTGTGCGCGCCCCCCCACTTTTCTATGCTTGCAGAAATGTGGACCCCTTTAAAGGAAGATCTGCACGAAGTAGATTCTGTTTAGCTGGATAGAGGGGGTTAGCCGAGCGCGGCATGGGCAGGGGAAGAGATAAACTGGTGTGGTACAGGCGCATGTGGAGCTGATTTGACTTGCCCATAACTGGCACCGGCGGTGTCAAGATCGGCTTTTGTGGAGGAGGCTCGTAAAGGACGTTAATGGGTAGTTGGAAGCTGTTGCCCTCTACAGTTTGCACAGTGGGGAGCACAGATGATGCATCTATTAGCCAGTTAATCCACAACACCTGGGTTTGTCCCGCGACCTGCCAGTGAGCCTTCGACAATCTACGCGATGGCTTCAAAGCGTACCTCGCACAAGCATTGTGGTGACGTCATGACACTTAGTGGCGAATGGTGGCGGCTGTTGTGTGCTGTGGTGCTCTAGAGCCGGGAGCAAGAGGAGCTGTGCGTGGGGCTCCAGTGGGAGCTCGATGAGTCGGAGCGCCGGCGCCTTGAGCTGCTGCAAGGGGAGCAGCAGCAGCGCGATGCGCGCAAACGCGCCGCGCAGGCCTTGCTGGACCAGATGGTGAGTTCGCGGAGCCTTGCCAAATGTCAGACTCGAGGGACCTTACTGAGACTTGCCGAGATTCAACAAGCCTCGTCAGGTCTCACCGTGGCTCCCGCATCGTGTATGTGTGCCCATCTTCACGTAGGAGGCGTCCCAGCTGTGTGCATGTGTGTAGGGGGTGTCCCAGCCGTATGTGTATGTATTGATGTATCGCTGTATATGTGTTGATGTATAGCTGTGTGTGTGTATTGATGTATCACTGTGTATTTATTGATGTATAGCTGTGTATGTTATGTATCACTGTGTATGTATTGATGTATCGCTGTGTATGTATTGATGTATAGCTGTGTGTGTGTACCCGTGCGTGTGTAGGAGGCGTCCCAGCTGCCAGCACGCTTGCTCTTGGCCGAGCACCGTGAGCGCGTGGCTCAGGGCGAGCGCGAACTCCGTCGCCTCCACCCACCCGCTCCCCCCTCCACCACCTTCTCCACCGGCATTAAGATGGTGCGACACTCACCAGCACTCCACAGAATGTGACGTTTTGGTGCGTGATGTTAACAATGATGGTTATAACCAGAACTCAACAGACCAGGTTGAGTCTCATTTGCAAAAGCAACCTGGGTCACCAAAATGACAAAAAAAAACAAATGTTGGTGATGATATAGATGGTGACGGTGCGCGATTGTCATGACGGTGTCGGTGATGTTTGCTGTGCGTAGAAGGTGCTGCTGGAGCCTGTTATGTGCTCCCAGGAGTCGCTCTTCTCCTACCGTGCGGTGGAGCTCACTACGTGGGGGCCCCGTGCCCCCACCGAGGAGGAGCTGGGGCCCGCCGGGTAACCACAACCACCACAACCCATGCTGTGGTAGTGCCAGGCTGATGATGGCAGTGATTTATAGCAATGGTGATGCTGGTGGTAATGATGCTGGTGGTAATGCCGATGCCAATGGCTAGTGCCGATAACGATGTTGCGGATGCTGGTGTTGGTAATTTTGTTTACGCTGCTGCTGTTGATCATGCTTTTGGCATTGCCGATAGTGGTGGACATGGTCTATTGCAGAGATCCACGATTCACGGCTTTAATCTAGTGGCCACCTTGGTGAATACAGCGGGTGTAATAATCAGAAAAAACACGTCTGCTTCACAGTGGACGTAAAAGTGACATAATTCGCAAAAGTAGGCCATTGTGTGCCGGCAAATCCCCCCAATTGGAATCTAATAGCAATCATCGCCCCCCCCCTATTATGAAAACTTAGCAGGACCCTCCTGAATAGTCTTCAGGCTCGGCGAGACTTTCCTGGCGTGCTTACATTCACAAATGACAAATCTTCACAAAGCAACTGTAATTGCAGGCATTGAATCATAAGCAGTTGCTGTTGCTGCTGATGGTGCCCACGGTGTTGGTGGTGTCCCTCAGGTATCTGAGTCACGTGCGCTCGGCCTCATCCCTGGATCAAGGCGGCGGGTACTCTTCCGCTCTCGCCTGCCGCCGTGCGCTGCAGGACGCCCTCAGCGGCCTTTTCTGGCGGCCGCACGCGGCGGGAGGCGGGGGGGTGGTGGCAGGAGCGGCCGCCACCGGGACCACGTGACGGTGCCATCCACACGACACCAGCTCAACACCCGGTCATGCAGGTGTCGTGTATGTCAACTTAGGCGCGCACACACTGTTGTAGGAGGCAACGTGTTTATTAAACAATTAACTATACACCGGATTCTGTTGCTAAGTGTGGCTAACTTCCTAGGCTGCTCACTATGTGCGCGTGTTCTAGCTTGGTCCCCGAAACGAGCCCCGAGTCCCCCTTACACTCCCCCTTTATCCCTTGGCCCCTGCCCCTTGCTCTATCAAGGCCGGCGCTCCCCTCTTCCGGTCACGTGCCTTTAGCTCGTCCAATCGGGCACCCGGCGCTCCAGCACCCTGACTGGCGCGACCCACAGAGATCTGTGTCTCTCCACAGGCAGCTGTACCACCACCACTGCCAATAGCAACACCTTCAGCATAACCACCACCACCGGCAGAAGTATCAGCACCCCCAGCAACAGTCCTCTCCTTTATTTCTCAATTAACTCGATCATTAATTCCAGTTTTGGACTCCCAGAATCCCTGGCAAGTCACATGGGGTGGGTGAGGCTGGTACTGGTGTAAGAAAGGGAGGCACATGCAGATGTGACACGAAAAATAATGCTGCAGGCCATCAAAATGAGTTTTGTTACGGGAATGCTAATGAGTGGTGCGTCACCGTACATGGGAAAAGGCCTTGAGTAGGGTTAGAGCTACACAGAGTGATTTAACAGTTTATTCCAGCTCCAGCAGAACACACAACACAACTTTGATCAATATAAACAGCTGCCATTCGTCACTCGGCAACGGTGATGTCACTCCATCGATTGTGCCAGCCTACATAGGTACACTTTCGGGGGCCACGTGAAGTGTTAAAGGTTTGTCAGCAGGCCATGGGACAGACAGGTGTTAACAACGGTTGAGTGCCCAAGACTGGCAAGATGCACCACCACTTGTGCCGCCCGCTGCCACCTCGCTGCGTTTTAGAAACCGGGCGCTCCACTCAGGGTGAGCGTCTCCTCCGCCAGCTATTGCTACTTGAGCGGCTGCTTCCAACCGCTCAGTATGTCCTCCATAGGCCGATCTTGACACCGCTGGTACCCGTCTCCGGCAATGGTAAACACATATGCAACCTCCGCAGCGCATGGGAAGATTTTAAGTCTTGTTTTGTCAATGCAAGGCAGCTCAGGCTTTCACAGCACAGGGAGGGGAATGATGCAATCACAGCTTTGCCCCATGTCGGAGCAGTGTGAGCCCAGCAGAGCGACACACCAACGGGTGACTGATTTGAGCTAAAGGGAACAAGGCTTTCCAATATCGATGGCTAATTAACCGTTAGTGGCACACAAAGCTCAGCATTTTGGAGGGAGAGAAAATTGTTATGGCCAAGAGGTACCGTGTCAAAAACAAGTGTTCCTGTGTCAGTTCGCATCAAACTCTCCTTGGTGAATGCTTATTTTGTGGTCATAATGGCAATGTGTTTTTTTTACATGAATGAATAACATTTGAATAGTTTTTTAAAATGTATAATGACCGTTTAAACATTTCCGGGCAAGGGGATAACTGCCCATTTTTGCCACCGTCTGAGTGCTTTTCTCTGATTAGGACTGTGTGCGTTCCCGCATCTGTTAAACATGTTAGTCCACAGGCACAAACACACAAACACTTGTAATTTTTTAAGCGCGTTTATAATAAATATTTCTGCGTGGACGCATATATGAATGACGTTCACCAATCGCGGTGTCACAGTGCGACACGGAATGTTCAAATCATTCATGGGGGGGGTGAATCGTGTAAACGGGGGCAATAGTCGGGCCCGTGTTGCTAGTCCAGCATCGTGGGTGACCGAGTGGATGGTTGATTGAGCGAACATGCGAGTGAACAAGCCAGGCACTGCGTCGTGCCCCGCCGACGTGACCATTAGGACGATTCCTGCTTTACGATGCGACGGTGGCGATGCCGCCCTTTAGCTCTATAGGTCACAGTTCGGCTCCACGCGATGGTAAAATGTCGCGGTTAGCACCTCGATCCTTCACGAGACCCAGTGGTGATGATGATGCAGATAGATGATGGTGCTGCGGTCAACCGTGTTTACATCTCGTCGTCCAGACCCAGGTCCTCCTCTGGGAAGTCGCCCACAGTGATTGACATCGGCTTGAGGAATGCGCCGTAGCGCGGCTCGCACTCAAAGTACCGGCGACCACCCACACTGCACGGCACACGCAGCCACGGGAAGAGCATGTGAGCGAGGGGCTATTTAGGCAGCCACCAGACATTGCTATGCATTATAGGCCCAGTTGACATAAGAGGCAGACGCAAACAGGACATAACGCGCCACAGTAATTGCACCAAACATACCGGGCCCACCACTCGGCACTTCTCCACACATTTATATTCAAACCACACCCACCAGCACACTCTGCACACACTTCACCACCCTGTGCTATGAGCAGGCGAGGCCTCACCTGCCGTCGTTCTTGCCCAACGGTTCGTCATACTTCACCCCCACCCAGAACCCTGGCTTGAAGTCTGCCTGACCTGGGGGGGTGGGGGGAGCGTTATGTCACCTCACAGCCAATCACAAACATTTACAGCCAACCACACCCAGCAACCACAATGACACTACAACCTATGCCAGCAGTGGAATTATGGGTAGGCGATGAAGGCAACCAAGTCTCAAGGCTTTTTATGAGGGTCCTGCCAAGTTTTTACAGTCCAGGGCAATGTTGCTATGTGCAACCCCAATTTGGTAATTTGCAGATTATTTTACAGCAATGCAATGTTTGGCAAATAGCATTTACATTGTTTTAAAAGGTGTCAAACATACCGCAGCTGCTACCTAAGATAATAATGCTGACAATCGTGATCAGATTTTAATTACACACAACACCACCATAAACCACATAGGACACCACACACGACACCACACACGGCAACGACACCACACTCGCACACCAAAACCCACACACCACCAAAACCTACATGCCACTTACCCACGAACATGACGGTTCCACGCTTGTGTGGCTGCCCCACCACTTCCACCTCACACCGCTGCCCGACCGTGATGGCACTCGCCGCCAACTTCTCTTCTTCCTCACGCTTGCGCCGCTCCTCCTCGCGCTGCGCCTGCATCTCCTCGTCGTAGCGGCCCAGCCGCCGCTGCTTCATGAACGTGCGCACCGACTCTGTGCGAGGTGTGATGACAGGTACATGGAGAGGGAGTGGGTGTTAAAATATTAACTTAATGCAGCTGCACCTCTTCACAAACTTCACAGGACCGTGACATCACATCACACTTTCTTCACACAAACACATCCATCACAATACTTCTTAAAAGAAATCCCACACTGCATTTTACCTCTTAAACTACCTCTTCACACCAATTAACATCACATCTCCTTAAACCAATTACACGACCTCACGGTCCCACACAACCTCACCACCACCACCTCTTTGCATCACCTGAGTAAAAAATGTGATTAAGCATCGACTGTGTAAATAGGTGTTAATCTGCGAGTGACGAGGGTGACGACTGCAAGACTGTTGACATGCGAGCGTGAAGAGCGAGCGAGAGAGACGAGTGTGCAAATCTGTCCAGGAGTGAGTGGGCGAGCGAATGAACGGGCGAGCGAACGGGATTCTGACCGGAGCGTTTTTCGTAGTCGTCTTCCTGCATGTCGTACTTGGGCACAGACGACAGGTCCTCAAACTCACCCTTCTGTTGCCCCGTCACGTCCATCACCTGGTGGGGGAGGTGTGGAGCGAGAGCGCGGTGCACACATGCCAGTGTCGGTATTATACAAGCATCCCATATGTACAGGTGGTATTTTCCAGAATCCTTAAGACACCCCCTAATCCTAGGACCAAAGCATCCGGTAGTGGCTACGCACGTGGCCTTTAATCCAGCACTTTGGAGGCAAGGGTTGTGTATCAGGGACATTCCTCTCAGTGGGCGTTGAGAAGCCATACTCTGGCTCACCACAAAAATGCAGGAAAGCAAAGTGCGGACGAATATCATGTTCCTTCTGTTAGGGATAGTGTTGCCCCTTCGCAACCTGCTTTTTCTATGGGTGCTCGGGTTTCCTCACGCATGCATAAACACTCATTAGCTCAACACATCGCAATGTATAGGACTGCAGAGCTTGGGCAATTGTTGGCACCGACTCACCACCTGGCTGCTGCCTTCCAGCTAGCATGTGGCTCCTTAGCGATTGTAATATGCAATTTTAACAATGCGAAACTAAACATTATTATCCCAAGATCCCCTGAATCCCAGGACCCTGGTAGTATTCCTAGAGATTCGTGGTATCCCTAGAATGCCGAATTGCAGGCCCTGGTCATATCCTTATCCCAGAACCCTTAGAATCTGGTGGTATCCCTAGACAATCCCAGGACGTTGATGGTATCCCTAGGCACCCTCCGCGCCCCTCAATTTTAGGACCCCCGTGTTGGTATGCGCTATGGCGCACGTGGATGCGGCAGCCGTTGTCCACGGGGTAGGATCCGAGTTGGGCATCGTCGTCGCTGAGCTCGGGGAGGGGCTCGTCATGGGGCCCAAACAACTGCAGGCGCATCCCCGCGGCGGGGGCCCCCGTGATCATCTCCAGCTTCCCCTACACCAGCACGACATCGTAAACAGCACGCCATACACACCGGAGCATACACACGGCACATCAATTAATGCTCAACAACACAATCTATACACCACACACACACCATGCTGCAGAGGCTCACGTGACCAACTCCAGCTACCCCTGAGCGCAGACAAAAGATAAAGATCACCTGTGTAGCCTGTACAGCCTATTGGACCAAATGCGATGAGCGAGCACCTATTAAGGCCGCCACGGCACACGAGGGGGTGGGTGGTCAGCACCACGCCCGGACGCCTTTGTCTCCCCAGTGGCGATGGTTACACACCGAACCAGGTACTCATTTGAGGCCGAGTCGACCTAGTAGAGGACAAGGACCGTCATTGATGTTGGCCGTGAGCGGGAATCGAACACGCTCCCCAGACACCCCCAAGTCATACCTCCAAACACCACCAGCACACCAATACCCGGTAATGTCAGCACGGCGCCTGTGCCAGGCCAGGTGCACTTTGAGGCCACGTGAAGTGTTGACGGCTCAGCTGACAAGAGGATATCTCG